TTCGCGATGAGTTTCGCAAATGGTAGGGGGAATTTCGTTTCGCCATTGTATCCAAAAGAGGAAGAGAATGAGAGTCTCATTAAAACATTTTTTCTCTCTGCCGCCGCTTTGAATTTGGCACTCTGCGAAGTTTGCGGCGTACGCGCAATTAAAAACTTGGTAAAAGTTTCGCTCCCGTGAGAAGAGAGCGCTGCACATAATTACACGGATTTCGCATCTCTTTCCTGCTCCCCCATTTAAATAAATATTTTCTTTTAAAATTCACATCGAAATTATTTATATTCTCGCTATATTGGAGAAGATTCTCTTTCGATTCGGTTTCCTCAATCGAGCTATTGGCGTTGGCCGTGAGCCAGCCTCGTGCGTGGCGTGCGCGATTTTCATTACACGTCCGCCTTGTGATGATAATTAATTCTCCACCTTTCCTCCTCGAAACACGGAGAAAATTAATTAAAAGTGGCCAAGAGTGTTCTCAAGCTGCCTACGCTCAAATTTTCCCATAGCGAAACTAAAACACTTTTTGAACTTTGTTCGAAACAAGAAATCATCAGGAGATTATGCATTTGTGCAAATTTTTAATGATGAAAAAATTAGCGAATTTTTTTACTTCATTGTGTTTAATTAAAAAAAATGTTATATTAATAAATACTTCAATTAGAAAACACTCCCAAGACTCATTTGACAAATATTAGGATAGCAGGTTTTGGTGAATCTTTTTTTTCAAAAAATGTTTACTTTCTTGCAGACTTTTTCTAGACGTCGTCTACGATATCTTTGAAAAGAAAAATTGCCATTCGCTGGAAGTTTTGCCGAGAAAAATGTCGTCGCGATATCGGCGGGACGGAAGAGGCGAAATTATTCACCGACGACACACAATATCTGCGCTCGATGCCATGTAACAACGAAGCATATTGCTTTTTATTATACAGTGCTCCGGCGCGCTCGTCTTTTTATTAACTCGCTCCGCTGCAGCGAGAAATCCGATAATAGCTGCCGGCCGTATAAAGTGCGTGTCTTTCTTTCTTTGGTGCAACGCCGGAATAACAAAGGAGCCCCTTTCTTCCGAGCAAAATTTATTGCACCCGGGCCTAATTTAAACTTTTCGAGAGTTTTAATCAATCATACACAACGAAAGAAGGCCCTTCTCTTTTGTGCAGTTGCTTTGATTCGCGTATCAATGCGTGTCCGTCTGTCCGTCGGGCCGATGCACTTTGGGGGTTGTTCATCGCCGGACCTATAATCCCTCGGTGATACATCGGCTGTCAATCAAAGGCACCGGCCCGAGGCAAATCCCGGCCTGGCCAGCTCAACTGACCCGTCCGCCTGCACGCCCGATGCATTATATGCAAATCCACTTTTGCAAAAATAAAACGCTCGCAATCGATCCATTAGCCAGCGGGAGTCTCTTTTAAAATTCAAAATAAAATAATCATGTTCCCTGCATGTTGTCGTAGGAAAATAATTATAATTTACAAGGGAACTTTTTTAGGTGCCTAACTGCGATTTTGATCAAAAATGGAATGTCAATTAGGATTCTCTTGTAGAGTCCAGAATTAAATTATTAGCTGCTGAAATGCATTTTTCACCCCTACAGAAGGGTTTGAGTTTGCCATTAAAATAGATAATAAATAATGTCATCATCTATTTTAATGGCCAACTTGAAACCTTCTTTTGGGGTGAAAAATGCATTTAATTCTGGACTTTACTTCAGGATCCTAATTGACATGCCAAATTTGATCAAAATCGCAGTCAGGCACCTAAAAATGTTCCCTTGTTAGACTAAATAATTTGGATAATTTTTAATGGACATAGACATTCAAGCTGTTGAAAATCTAAGCCACAAGATATTATTTAATATTTATATAATGAGAACAAATTGCAACTAATAAATATATTTTTTAGTGATATTTGAGATATTTTATTAGGCAAGTTTTTATGAAGCAAAAATCATACCCTTATTTAATTACACTACAAAAAAGTAAAAATAAAAAAAATAAAAATTAATAATAATTTAAATAATAAATTATTCATTCATAGTAAAATAAAAAAAACAATATAATAAATAAAATAAAATAATTTTTTTTTTTAATAATTAAATTAAGAAAATATAAAACAGATATGGATTTTTCAACATCAGCTCACTTTCTAGTAATTTCTCGAAATAGGTAAAAATAAAACTGTAATATGAAATTTAAAAAGTCATTTATTGCATCAAAATAGCAGACAAAGAGAGGAACAGAGTAAAAATTTAATTGAGAAACCAAGGAGAGAGGGATAAATTGAATTTTAAACTCCATTAAAGAAGCATTTTCTCAGATATTCAGCAGCAATGTTGAGGAGAAACGCAATTATTGTCCGCTTATAGGCGGCTGGAAGGAAATATTTGGCGGTGTAGAGCATTATTTTGAGCCGGGAAACTTTTGAAGAGGGTTCGCGCTGGTTCACTTGTGGCTTGGTGGCAAATAACGTGCAAATAAGCCGTGCCTGCGCTGGAAAAGTTTCAAAAAGTGCGCTGCTCTTCCCTTCGTCGTCGTTCGCTGGGCTGAGAGGGTCGTAAACAGACCCCCACCTAATTCGGCGATAAAAATTCAGACCCGCTGCTCTCGCGCGCGCGGTCTGGCTCTTTCTCTCATCCATCATCCGCCGCAGACAATTCAGAGTCTCGGCGGCAATAATGCACCCCCAATTAACGCCCCCTTCATTAACAAGGGGAGGCAGACTGCTTTTTGCATGACTTGCGCCCGCAGCACACGCACACACATACCGAATATAATCAACCTGCTTCTTTTCCTTCTGCTTTCGTTGACACGAATGGCACCGAGAAAATGCAATTCACCTCTCCCCCTCGATATATTCTTCCGCCGAGGCTAACTCGCAATTATTTTACTACAGACACTATATTCGTCTCAGAAATCTTAAAGGGGATGACAACTATCACAATTTAAAATTCCATTTTTCATATCCTGATTGACACGTTTTTTTTTTTTTTAGAAAGTCAACAAAATTATTAACTTCAAAAGTTTCCTCAGAAGAAGCCAATAGATCAATGAAAAAATTTACATATCTTTAAAAAATGCTGAAATTATGTTAATCATAATATTAATTAAAAAAAGGGTTTTTGAACTTGAACTGGTATTTTGAAAGTTAAATACACACTTATTTACATCATCATTTTACACACAAATCAATCTTTGATTTCAATTTGTTTAACGCCTCTGACAAAAAATTGCAGCAAAAAATATAAAATTTTGTATTTTTGAAAATAATCTAGATTCTTTAAACATAGCCCAATATGTCATCGTGGATATTAAAGTATATTACCAAATTTAGATTTTGTTAACAAAATCATCAAAGTTATTAACTTAAAAGTTCCTTGAGAGTGTATAACTCATAAGACCAATGCAAAATTGCCTATGATAAGAAAACCGTTGCAATTATGTAAATTTTAATTAAAATGGAAGCATTTTTAATGTCAGTACTTTGAAGGTTTTTACAACCTTATTTACATCATTTTCCAGAGCCAATTTTAATAAGGCTTTGTAAATTATCTTGAAACTTTTCGAATATAAGTGTAAATTGGAAAGCGCGAGAGCCGCGTGATCCGCATGCGAAATCCGAGACGAAAGGCTGCGCGCATCACTTCTCGGTGCGTAATGGATGTTGGGCCGTAAAATCTGCTTGCCGAGGAATTTAATATCGCCGAGCAGCAGGGATAATAATTGTTTCGCGTTTTATTGCCAGATTACGTGCGTAATAAATTGGCCGCGCCGTGCTCCGAAGGCAGATAATAAAGTGTATGCAGATTAGGCCGCGCGTAGTTGCCACTCGGAGCACGTCGCCTCCATTACACACACACTCTGCACGGACGATCGGCCGCGGCCTTCTTCTTTTCGCCTCCGTCCGACGCAATTTGGCCTAATCAAGTGCTCTCGAGCCTACACTCCTCGCTCCAGACGTGACTGCTCATCACATGTCCGCCAAATTTCAAAAGCGACTCGCGGTGTCAAGAAAAAAAGAAGAAGAAGAGACGAATCTGTTAATCAAAGTGCCTCTTGACTTTCGTAGGTCAAAAGTTCCTTATCCGCTCCTAGTAAGACTTGTTTTTTTACTTTATTGTTAACTTAAAATTTTATGAAAAAAAATATCACATCTATAGGGAACACCTGACAGAGAAATAGTAGTTGGAAAGATGAAGATCATTTAGATTTTTTGTAATAGCAAAATATTTTATTGTTACAATTTAAATGAATTACCAAATTTTAAAAATTTCGAGAGTCAAGAGGTATGGAGGGAGAAGGGTCAGCTTTTCTTTCATAAAAAAACCAAAACCTTTTTCCGCAAAAAAAACACTTAAACCATATTTTTGTGTGTAAAAAAATCAAAAAGTACATATTTTCTTATTCTTTGGATTGATGGGATTAATTAGTTTATATTTATTTTGTATTATCAATTTAATATTGCTGCAAAATAGATACCGATTAAGAGCAGCGACAAAACTAACTTTATGTTAATAATTTTAAGGGTTAATAACTGGACATGCATTTTGGCCATGCTTTGCATAATTTCTCCCTGATGGAGAACTGCGCGCAAACAAAAATCCCTCTCTCGACCCTCGAGGGACGAATCTGTCGCTGCCAGCCACAAATTGAATTTAAATCGCCCTAATTATCTCCACCGAGATTACTCGCCGGCCCTTTTTGCTCTCGTGTGTGTACGCTTTTTTTCTGAAAAGGGGCGAGTTTTGTTTAATCTGGCGCGGCCGATCGTTAATCACAGCGGCTGGACTCATAATTCTCAAAGCAGGGCCGACTCGATGGCCCTCGAATTTTCGCACCTTGCCTCAAAACGGCGACACAACAATTCGCATAATTGCTCAAACGCAGAATGACCCTTGAGGCTGAATTAATGGGCCCTTTGCTGACTTGATTGTCCTCTTTGCCGTTTGCGCGCGGGCGGCACTTGTGGCAAAAGCTTGAAAAGCAGAAATATCTCATTTTTGCTTATTTTATTTAGCACTTTAGAAGCATTATAAAAAATAACAATAAAAATAACAATACAAAATTGTAGAAACATATATAAAATTCAAGGATGCTTCTTGTCATATTTGCAGCCCTTCTTGATGAACATGAAGTTTTCTTTGGGCCAGTAGTTTTGTTTTGTCCCTTCGTAAAGGCGGTAGTCCTGTTTCAACATGTATTCTTTCATGTGATCCTTGGAAAACTTAACTCCGTGACTGAACTCGGCGATGAGGACCTTTTTCGAATTTTCCCATAAATTACAGAAAAAGAAGTTTTTTTTTTATCAACATACCAAGATGTTGGTTTTGTCAAAGGGAATGGTGTGGAGGACCTCATTCTCATGGCCTTCAATGTCCAACACAAAAAGGTCAACCTCTTGCCGGTCCAGCGCCTTGTAGATGGTGAAGAAGGGCATGCACAACACCTCAATCATCTTTTCATTCTGGTTCAACGATGGCTCTTTTCCGCCATGTTCGGAAGAGTTGAAGATTTTGCCCACTGTGCCCTTGTGCAAGAATTTTACCTAAAATTTCACTCCAGGTTAAGAAAATTTAAGTTTTTCCAAAGAATTTATTAGTTAAATTTTTCCTTCAGGCTACATTTAATTTTATAGGTGATTTGAAAGAGAGGTGAAACTTTTTAAATAGCTATTTAAAAAATAAAACTCAATAGTTCCACATCTCTACTTTGAAGTAATACATTTTTTATGAATAAACATTTCCATGTTTGCTCACTTTTGTTGGTTTCTTCTCGAGACTGAGACAAGCTGGAATGAGGATTGACTTTCGGTTTCGGGTGAGCAAAGATTCAAAGTTTGGCGGCGACGCTTCAATAAGTGCCCCTGTCCAGTTGTACCGCTCCTCCAAATCAAGCGTATTTGAAATTTCTTCTCCGTCAAACGCTCCGCACTCGATAAAGTATTTCCCTGTCTGATATTAACGCTTATAAAAAAATTAGAAATGAAAAAAGAAGTTTACAGAATTTTCAAATATGTCGAGAAAGGCGGGCAACTGGCCTTCGCTCCGGTCCATCTTGCCTGGACTGCGTAGGTTGTAGGGCACAGTGCGAGGCGACGGGGTCACCCACATCTTCCGCCTCACATAATTGATCAAGTTTGAGTCCTCCTGCTCCATCTCCAACATCTTTTGAACTTTTTTTCCTCAAATTTAATTTTGTTTTTACAAAAAATATATTTATATACCCTCAGCTTCGTCATGCGTGTAAAGAGTTTTGGCGTCTGTTTTTTTTTTCAAGAATAAAATTGAATTGAATTAATTATTGCAATAAAACCATATGTGATGTTCTTCAAGGCATCCTTGACGAGCTTTTTGGTATCTTCGGAGATTTTGGCGGCGCCGGAGATTCGCTCAATCCGTTCAAGAGCGATCTGGAGGAGCCGCTCGGCATCGCTCATCATGCCCTGCGCTATTTGGGTCGAGTTCTTCCTGGCTGCGATCTCTTCTTTCACCTTCTGCTCGATCTCCTTCAAAATTTTGTCGGTGTTGTTAGGCAAGGTGGAGAGATTTTGGTGCAGCAGGTCAATCGCCTTGGCCCAGCTCACCTCGTCCTTTTCGGCGAGTCGCTTCTGCGCCTCGTGCATGGGCTGCAGGGCTCCGTGCAGCCGCGAAACCACCTTCACCAGGTTGTCCAGTCGCTCTCCGAGCATGTACGAGTGCCACGTGAGAACCGCCGAGGCCGCAAGCAAAGCCCACAACAGCATCGACGCGCCCCGATTCTTCAGGGAGAATCCCTGATGCTGCATCGATTGCGGTGAAAATAAGGAACTAAATTTAAAGAATAAGAATTTTTATGCTTTTTTCTAAAAATGATTATTATATTTAAATTTAAAGACGCAAAATTTAATTACTGTATTTTGAATTAAAAAAAAAAAAATATATAATAAAAATCAACAATGAGCATATAATTTGAGATTTTCGTTAGTTCATTTTCATTGGAATAGAAAAAATACTAAATGTGCATTAATTCAATTAACTTCCAAAAATCAAATAAAAATGTTTTGCAATTAATAGTGGTCGTTATTCATAACTTAAAATATTTCAAACTTGAAAATTTGAACTTTTCACGTACGAATAAAAAATAATTTTAATGAAAATGAGGATATTTATCGCTTTACAAAGCCACGTTGCGCTAACAAAATAAATACCAACTTTTCACGATCTCCCTTCTGTGCCGGTTGGCCAGTCGATGAGCGCGGTGTGTCAGAAATGACGACATACTCTCTCGTGTCTACGTCCTCTTCCTGTACACACGACGCTCCAGGAATTAACATTGACCTGAAAAGCCTATAGATTTGATTTTATATGGCATTTAAAAAAATGACCGCGATTTAAGCGAGTCAAAATTTTTTATTAAATTTTTCAAGTGAAGAGAAATTTTCAAAAGTATCAATTTAAAAAAAAGCCTGAATATGGTAAAAAAAATTAATAGAAGTGTAATAATATGTAGTTCTGCTTTTTCATCATGCACACTCGAAAGGTAAAAAACTTTCAAAAACCTTTTCAATCAACCCAAGTTTTCATTATTTCCTCCCTTTCTCCCATTCATTCTTGTTTCTTTTTTTCCCAAACAAAAAATCTTTGAGATGGAAACAATTTCGCGACGCATCTCAAGAGCAGCAACTTTTTCCTTCGCCCACCACATATACGCAGCAGAGTCTTTTGTGCGTCGGTCGCTTATTGGAAATTGGCCCACGCATCCCTTTCTGGCGGAGAGGGATGCTGGGTGCTCTCATTTGTGTATATGACCGACAAGACTTACGAGGGAAGTACGCCTTCAATTCATTAGTGTGCTTTTCGTTCTCGTGCGCGAATCAGGGCCATTCACATGCAAATCAATCTTCAGTCCGCGCTAATGTACGCAGAGTGGCTGCCGTCGTGTCAAAGGAAAGAACATTGCAGGCGATGGAAAATTGGAGAATTTCCTTTAATTTATCTGACAGTGTTTAAATTTAATATAATTATATTATTAAGTTTTTTTTAGTAAAAATTTATTTTAACTTAATAATTTTTGTAAATTCGTTTGAAATTTAAAATGAAAAAATTACTCGGAATAAAAATCAAATAATTATTTCCGAATTTTTTTACTCGGCTTTTAATATGCAATTTTTTTTTTTATTATTATTGAAGAAAATTTTTACAACATTAATTTATTCATTTGTAGATGAGAATTTTCTGCAGGTTGAGTGTAGGCAAATGTTTTCATATTTTCTCCAACTATGGCGTTTCGCTAATTAGAGCAGGACAGCTTTTGCTTTTGCAAATCCGACGCGAGACTCGACATAAATTCTAATCAAGCTCAAAAATTCGTGTGCTGGCTCGAGTGGCGTCGCTCGCTGGCACACAGACACACGCACTTGATCACGTTTGGCCAAAGTCGCTTTCGCTCTCGTTCGCCACCTTTTGCCTCCGGCATCTCTCTCGAGTGTCTCTCTCGCACTGTTTGCGAAACAAAAGTTCGCTCGTTTATTTGTTTGTTTGTTGCACGCCGCACTGCTCTGATGATTCATTCACTTTCTCTCTCTCTCTCTCGCCACGCTTAATTGCAATGCAAAAAGCCACAAGCCTTTCTTTCAATCTCCAAGTTTCAATTAAAAACTTCACTGGTAATTTTAGAAATTAAAAAGTTATTAAAGATCCCAATTTGCAATAATTGAAAAGTCGTTTCGAGAGTAATTTGAATCGCAGTCAAATTGATCAGCCAGCTTTGGAATCGGCGAAAATTAAACGATCGGCTGCGCGGTAATTTCCCAGTGGGCTCGATTTGCGAAACTCGAATCGCTTCGGCCAGAGATGCAGGGAGTGAAGTAATCACAACGAGCGAGCGAACGAGCATTTGGGAAACAATGGGAAATTGAAGAGCAATCTCGCAACTCGCGGGGGGAACGAAAAGAACAGAGCGAGGAACGAAAGTCTTTTTTCGCCGTGCTCAAAACACGCGCACTCTTTTGCTGACGTAATCACAGACTCAAAATCAAGATACAATTGCAATACAATAAGTCAATGTGAGTCAATGAAAAAACAAGAATTTAGATAACTTAGTACGATCTATTCAATTAAACCCTCACAGAATATGGAATTAAATACAATAGATTTATTAATAACATTTTTATTTTTTTCTCAATTATATTTTTTTTATCCAAACTAATGTTAATAGGTACAGTTCTATCAAAATTTATAAATGCCTTCAATCCATTTTTCTGGAAAAAAATTGGAATTCTTCTGAGCGCTTTGTTTGATGGTGTAACACGAGGCAATTTCTGCATGAATCGAGATACATCATGAAAGATTAAAGTAATAATAAATTCAAACATAATAAACCTATTTGAAAAAAAAGCATTTAAATTTCCTCAATAGCTTTCTAAAAAAAATCAAAATATGAAATCGTGTATTTCAAAATACAATTTTAATTGACAAAGAGAGAAACTGATTAGAAGCTCCATTGTTGTTTTAATAATTATTATTTGTTTGAAAATATATTAAAAAAATCTGAGGTTAGGCTTTCATATTAAATAAATATAAATACATATAATTATTGCTCTTTCTCAAAAATCGTTTTCAGTTTATTTAATGTGTCTTTTAAAAATTTAAATTAAAAAAATTCAAAAGGATAAGCATGAAGAAGTACAAAATTTTCTTATCTAGATTTTCGGCAATTATTCTTCTGTTTCCTTTTGGATTTGCCCCTAAAATAGACCGATTGCGAGAAATATTCGCCTGCCCCAAGTTTGAAGATTGAGCACAGAATAAGACGAATTTAGATTGCATTCATGTTCGCGTGGGCTGCTTTTCTTTAATCAAACACTCGTCCGTCCGTCGTTCCGCCTCCCTCGGCATGCACGCTTAGTGCATGCATATTACAACAGGAAGAATGTGTGTGTTTATGTGCGAGAGGGAGTTGTTCTCAGTTCTTCGGAAACCGAGAAGAGAAAATTGCGACGCTCGCGATTTCGCATTCTCTTTGATGCACTCTGCAGCGGCAGCTGTCTTCTTATTCCTCCCTCTTCTACCCCCCCTATAATACGGGCACCACTTTTTTAATATCCGCCGCCGCCGAGCTGCCAATGGGAAAAAAAAGTGCTGATTGTGTTCGTCGACGGAAAAGCTTCCTCGCGTCTAATTAAAATGCGCTCTACTTCTTACATCATAATTCCAAAATCATAATAATAGCGAGATGAAGAATAAATGGAAAGATATTAAAAAATTTATCCAGAAAAATTCAACAGCATACATCATACATCTCACAATTGTTTATTTATTTATATTTTTTATTTCAAAAGTTAACTAAATTTTTACATGTTTCTATTTCTATATATAGGTTCTTACAGTTGTAGATTTTTTTTTATTTTTTTTTTTATTTTTTTTTAGGGTCAGGCCAAGACAAAGTCTTGTCGGCCTGTGCCCTTTATTGGTGGTACAGAAGGCACCACCCAATTAATTTTTTTTATTTTTGGCACCTTTTGGCACTCGAGGTGTTCATTTATTTCATCAATACATTTTTTATTTTGTTTTTCATTCAATAAATTCTATAAAATTTACCACCTGCTGTCTATTAAATAATCTCATATTACTTTCTTGTCAAGGAAAATCATTGAAGTTGATGGAATTTCTGAACGTTCCTATCTGATTGGCAAATTGATGCTCCGGTTTAATATTCCAAATCACACCGCAGACAAATCATGGGTTTTATGGCAATTAGCACGCGAATATGGGTAATGATCTGATTTCTCGGTCGCAAGCGCAATTAATTTGCAACGCCGCATTTAGGCGCAAAGCGATCCTCAATCCGCCTTTTGACTGCTGCTCTGCTCAAGAGAGGAACCATAAATAGGAAGGCTTACAGTCAAAGTCGGGCGGCGGATTTGCGTGAGTGCGCCGGAAAATTGAATCGCTGCATGTATTAGCTCATTAAACCCGAGTTTGAATGTCAACAGACACATACACACGCGCGCGGATAGAGTTCCTTTGAGCGGCGAGAGGCAAATAGAGCAGCTAGTCACTCACTCGGCGGTCTTGATTACCCACACGGCCCAATCCAACCCCTGCCAATGAACCGTTTTGCGCAAAGGCCTCAGCTGGAAAAAATGCAACTCAAACTCTCGACTTGAGCATATATGGGCTTGATAAATTTTAGTTTGCTATGGAATACGTAAGTTCGATGAGAGGTTTTTCAGTGAATTAAATTATTTTATACAAACATTTACTCTTTTGATGTACATAATTATACATATATTTGAAGTACATAAGATTTTTGCTGTTCTTTGAAATGTAACTGAATGAAGAATAAATTTATAAATTTAAGCGCTTCAGAAATTGTTTTTAAATATCTAATAATTGTTTATATAAAATACAATTTACTTAAAATATTTTAATTCCCAACTTTTTTGTTTACATTTTGAAAATACTTGAAGTACGCCAAAATTTAAATAATTTTAACTTTAATAACAGCAATTTTTAATAATCATGCAAACCTTTGATTGTTAAATAAAATGTTAATTCCACAAACGCCTTCTTCCATTTAATTTTTTTAAACTGTTTTGGATTTTCCCTGCATTATTAAATTATTAAATTCAATTGAATATGCGAGGACAACTACTTCAGTGTCAAACATACCGCATCAGTTAATATTCATGCACACTTTTGATTATTCAGCTACGTGAAAACTGCATAACTTCTTCTTTATCTTTGCCTACCCTACCACCTGTAAAGAGCTTGTTTTCGTCTCGAAACCAATTTTCCAACAAATTGAAAAGCGATTTAATTAAAATTTGAATTTTCCGCGAAAATTTGAAGCATTTTCCTGTCCTCCAAACAGAATAATAAAATGAACTCGTTGACTGGAACAATCAAGTTTCTTTTTATCGCAAAGCAGCATGGGGTTGCTTTCGTGCTTGCGTGGCTTTTTGTTTTCCCCTCTGAACAGCTGGTTGGTTGCAAACTGAAGATGCGCCCGCTGCAATCTTTCCACTCATCTGCGGCAAACACGAGACGTAAGCAAATTCTCAATCAGATTTCCTCTCCCCTTGTTTTCCTCTTTCCACGAAACAAATTGCGGAATCTCATTTGCAAGATATGCAAACAAAAAAATTCCTTGGCCTCGTACAGGCAAAAAATCAAATGAAATTAGGCTCGTCGTCGTTTCCCCACTTTGCAGGGATTAATTTCAATTTCTTAGTTAGAGGGACGGATTAGCGCGGATCTGAGTTTCTTTGTTCAGGCGGCGGCGGCAGCTCAGATTGAGGAGGAGACAAAGCTAAACGAGTTAATTACGCAAATAATTCCATTAGGCGGCGACGTCGCGACTTTCCGGCTCTGCCGCCTCGTCTTACCTTGGCCGGAAATCTTTCTTCCCCAACCGCCACCCTGTGCGCGTCCCACCGGCGAATAATCTGCTCTCTTACCTGAAACAAAGAGAGAAAGGCGTTTTGTCAGAACGAGAGACTCAACGAGCTGAATAATGAGAACGAGGCGCACAAAGCGGCCAAATTAAATCTGCGAGCACCCTTTGTCATCTTGCAAAAAATGGGCACTCTGCTCAAGAGTTATGCGCTTCACCAGACTCGCACAAGACCAACGCTCAAGCACCAAAAGTACATACCAAAGAAAGGTGTTAACTAAGGAGTTTTAAGGCAAACACTTGCTTGTGTAACAAAAGTGCGTCTCTTCAATTGTTTCAAATGATTAATTTCTTTACAAATTCATGAAAACATTTCTTTCTTTGGAGATTATTTGTTCAATTTTCAATGAAGGAAATCGTTGTTCTCACATAATAAAAAAAAAACTTTGATAAGTGAAGTATATTTTTATCAAATTTATTCCATCAGTGTGAAGCTGGCTAGGGAATGCCGTAGGATGAGTTTTACGGTCCGTTTGACGTTTTCATGGAAAGGCGTTGAATTTCATCGCAAGCCGATCAGGCAACTCGCTCGACGGGGGAGTCGTGCCGGTTGCATACGCGACTCTGCTCGCGACACCTCGCCGAAGGAGGCAGGAAGGGTGCGAGCGAGCCTCCTTCATCCATCGGAATACCTATCGATTTCCGACGCGACGTGTCAGCGCCGGCAAGAAATTAAAAATCGAACTGTCACTCACGAAAACCATCAGCAGGTGTGCCGATTCAGCTTTTATTTGAAATTATTTTCAGTGGCGGGGAGGAAAATTATTACATCTCTGCCGGAAGGGAGCAAAAAATAACAAGGCCTGGGCACGCTTTTGAGAAAGAGAAAGTAGTGCGAGAGCAGAGGGATTTGCGCGGTAAGCAGGAAAAATGAGCCGCTTTTAATATTGGGCTGCAAGTGAAAAATACGAGGAGGGGAACGCGTTTTGTTTTAATTATGGAATCGGGAGTGTAAAAAATAAAACTTCTCAGGAAGAAACCATTTTTTCCCTATTTTCAGTTTGATCCCTCGGCTTTGGTAGAAAATTGATAAATTCTGATGGATTTCGGATTGGAGATTTGGCGCCGATTTTCGCTTCGTCGGCGGCGGCAGATTTGATTTTTAATGCGGCGGCGGGAGTTAAGTGGGATTCGATGTCTGGCGCTCATTGCGGCAACGTGTGTGGGAATGAGTGCGTGTGTGGGTGCGGGCGGGCGGTGCAATCGATATTCGCCGCCGCCACCGCGACCAGGAGCCGCTTCATTTTCTCCCCATAAAGAGAGAGTGAAAGTGAAATACCCCTGCGCTGCACCTCGAGAAAGTAGGCAGTGCATGTGCATTATAGAACATGGCAGCAGCGACTTGGGGCCGAGCAGATTTATGTCCGCAACTTGCTGTTCCTAGAGCAGGAACACAGCTTCCGGCTGATTAATGGGCCCAGATGGGCTCAGCCCCGTTCTCCTGTCGCCGGCTAATTATGCACGCGTGCAGACGAATTGATAACGCCCGCGAGAGAGAGAAAGCTCTTTGCTCCTCTGCCGCATCTGGGCCCGAGCAGGAGAAAATTACAAGAAATCTTTCTCCGAAGCAATAGCCTTTTTAAACAAAAACAAATTTAATTTGTTATTTTAGATTCCCTAAGAATTATCATTATTTTGGATTAGTAGGTGGGAATGAAGTGGAATTTCCACGAAGAACATTTTGTGGAAAGTTATTATAAATTTTTGATTTCAAAAATTAAAATAATTTCAATTATTATGAAAGAATAATTATTTAATTAGATTTGTAAAAATAGGATGTTTTCATTTTCACCCCCCACAATGGTCAATGCCTCGCTTCTCACTTTGTTTATAAAATGTTTTACTGTCAACACAGTAAGTTGTTTGTACAAGATTTTTGCAATGAAAATTTTATTTTGCTAAAATTATTATTCATGTTGTTTATTTGTCCAATTGTTACATATCACATTGTTTACCTTCAATTAGATTCAATTTGAATGTTCAGTTGATTTTTCTATTGAGAAAATATGTCCTGATTAATTATAACGTTTTTGATACACAAAAATGAATAATAATGTTTTTAAAGAGATGGAGGCTTGATAAAATTTATAAATATTTTTCAAGAAGAGAATTAAAAACAGAGAGGTGGGAGCAACAGGAAAAGGAATAAATATTCTCAATTTCAGTCGTTGATGGCTTGATTGAAAGTGACGAGAGTTTAAATAAATTATAAATTTTGCTCGACTGTCTAACATAATTGAGGAGAGCATAGAGACAAACCTGCGGCAATCACAATCACAGCAGAGTTCGAGGCACAACCACTGGTCGTGGGCGACTAACCAAACCGCAGGAGTTCCGCGACCTTTACCTTTATCATTTTGTGCAGATAGCAAGATAGTGGGGCATCCTGGTCGGCATAATTCTATGCACGTCCCGTTAGTCTCGTTTTTTGCGCCACACGGAACTGGTAACTTTCAAACTGATGTTAAAAAGATGTGAAAAACTGGAAAAAAAAATATAGCAAAGAGTAAAAAATATTTTTTTCCCAAACGTATTAAATTTTCAATACCAGGTTATATAAGCTATTTAAATATTTCATAAACAGTGAGATAATTAATATTTTTTTAAAAACCTGAAATTTTAATATATTTTTTTTAGACCTCCTGTGATTTTATTGAAAATTTTCTGAGAGTTCTTTATGCATAAAAAATTATATACCAGAATTGAAAAAATTGACTACAGTGATTAAACCTTTTCTCGATGTTCTTAACAAGTATGAAAATTTAAATTTCTTTGGATCAGAGTTTTGTAGCGAGTTTCTTTGTTGAAAAGAAACGGGAGTTTCCGCGACGCGTGCCGCCGAGCAAAAAGTTTGCTGATTAATAATGCAGCCGCGTGGCCCTGAATTATTGCCACGGAGTGCGGAAAAGAAGCTCCTGCTTTACCGGCGGCGTTCCGCGTGACGTATAAATTGTTATAATCACGTACACGCGTCCCTATCTTTTTTCCACTCTGCTCTTCGGCCTCGGAATAAATCACCACCGAACGAGCAAAGCAAAAAGTGAATTACGAGAGGCGCGGCATGTGTTGCGAAACAAACTTCGTTGCCCGCTACATTAAATCTTGAGCCGTGCAATAAAATATCCGCCAAAATTTGAAACAACACAAGCCATTATTTACGTTTTCATTTCTGGAAAATTAAATCCAAGAAGCAGGATTTGGAAAGTAAACCTTGTTGTCAGATTTCCTTTCTTGGTCGGTTGTTGAAGCTGAAAAATGAGCAAAAAGCACTTGTAATTGCTTGGTTAGGGACAAAAGACGCGAGGTCAACCGCCAAAGCCCTCAAACAAACACCGAAGGGCCTCTCTAGTAAAAAACGGAGATTAATCTGAATTCGCCTCTAATCCAACATGGACGGTGGGCCTTCCATTATTAAAAGGCTATTAAAAAACTGGAAACACTTTAAAAATTTGACAAAACTCTCAGGAAAATTCTTTTACGTTTCAATGTTATTATTTTTTGTGAGAATTAAAAATAAAAACTGAGTTGCTTGGAGCGTCAAAGTTATTTCCGCATCGCGTTATAAACGTTTGTTTTGTTCTTTTTTCGCCACAACTGGATAGCCCTCTCGTTTTGTCGGTTTTGAGCGCGTTCTTTGTTGTCGTCAAAAGCGTGCTCGCGCCGACAGTATTATTGCCCATCTGCCGCTTTATTAACTTGATATACATGCGCACCACCGCCGCTGAATTTTCCGCAAGTTAAGCTGTGTGTGCTGCCGCGGCTCTGAATTCATTTTGCAACATAAAAGCTTCCCAAAATTGCCTCTGCCTGGATTTGCTCGTATTCTTTTACGATGACAAAAGAGCGCAAGTCAATTTCATTTCGAGAGGGAAAGAGTAAAATAAAATATGTCGCAGTTCACAAGTTCGAGAGCAGTCTCGGATCCGACCGGCGCAGGGTGATGAAGGAAACTTTGGCAATTTCCGATTCACTCTGGGCCTCATTTGCTCTGCCCGACCGACCGCCTGGTCCGTCACAGAAAAACAACTCTCGTTTATTTGGATCCTCTGCCAGGAAAACAACAACTGTAATGCTATTTCTTTTATTACGAAGGATTAATTTTTTTATTTGAACAGCTGTTGCTCTGACTTTATATTTTTTTAATTTTTTATCGAGTTCGATTCAGAAGGAGCAGCAGGTTTATTGCTTTAATGGCCCATAAAGGGCGCGCCAATCAAATGCTCCGTCACGGTGGCAGTAATAAAATATGGCACAAATAATAAAAAGCCTTTTAAGCACTCACTTAATCGTAAATGTGCTTTTCCGGATGGCGGAAAAAAATCACTTTTTGATTGTTTTCCCAACAGCCGGTGCGCACAGAGTAATAATTAATCCGTGTGCTTCTCGCTGATTAAAGAAGGGTTGTTGGGCGGGAGCAGGACGAGAAGTTGGCGGAGCAAACATAATTACAAGTCCAGCTGCGCGCCCCCGACCGACACGCCGAGAGGCAAAACAAAATCGCGCAAACCGATTCCGCTCCACCGTTCCAATGCTGGGTCCGAATGCACAATTCGGAAGCAGGAGAGGCGACAGATGCAGGCAAATTTAATCAAAAGCGGCTGCGTCGAGGGAAATTAAAAAGCATGCAACGCCAAACTCCCAGATTATCCACTTTGTGGGACAAAAGAGAAAAGGGCAAATGAAGTGGCAAATCAATTTTTGTGTGATTTTACTTCATCTCCAATTATTATTGTTGTTTATTTGTCCACATTGTTACATAGGTATACATTTTACATAAGGAAAATAATGGAAGAAATTTTTCTTTTATAATAGTCGGATTGAAGAATTAACATATATTTCTGCTGAACTTTTCAAGTAAATCTAATTGGCTTCGCGCTGTTCAAATATTTTCCCTCCGTCTGGCGAATTTTTCCACTCCACGACTCGGCCCCAAATTAAGGCTTGCACTCTTTTTGCAAATATTGTACTGTTTCGAGCAATTCCCCGAAGGACCGAGTCAAGAAGAAACCAAGCGAGAGTAGTGTTGGCCGACGGCGTTTTTCCCTTTTCTGGCCAAATGCAATGCTCGCCGTGCCACGCTATTTTTATTGAATAATAAAAGCCCCTTTTACTTCTCCGGCCGCGTTTATTTCCCGGAAATGTAGCGGTTAAGTTTGCAGCCGGCGAAAAGAGAATTCGATTTTGCATCTAGTGATGAATATTTGAAATGGTGGCGTGCGCGGGGTCCTTTGTCGGCGCGTAATTGATTCGAGCAGGGTGTACTTTGCATTCCTCAAGGAGCGGCGGCAACCCCAGGCCGAGGAGGCCAGACTGGCCCGCCGAGTGAGCCAACCAACGACGAGACCACATCACAGCAGCTCAGCGAAAAATCCACTTTGTGCAGCGCAAACAAAGGGCTCCTTGCTCGCGAGCTGCGAGTCGAGAGAGAAAATTAAATTGTTTCCTGCATTAAAACACAACATGAGAGAGAAAGGAAGGGAAAGAAAGAAAGAGAGGCTCAACTCAAAGCAACTTGAGTGCCTGACCATTTTCTACGGTGACAAAAAAGTAACGAGTTTCCTGACTAGGCACTTTGCGTCTGGGCTGCTTATAAAAAAATTTAATTTATATCACAGTGGAAAAACACATTAACATTATATTTAAATAATTGATTCACTCTGACTTTATATTAGAGTGGTTTCTAAATTCATTTTAGAAGTATAAAACTTTTAGAAGTTTGAATTATTTTAAGCAAAAGGTCATATAAAAAATTTGTGAAACTGATTTTATAGTTTCTCATCATGCGTTGTAAAATTTCTAAACATGTGTTGTGAACTTTCTAAACATGTGCTGTGAAATTTCTAAACATCTGTTATGAAATTTCTCATCGTGTTGAACCAAAAAATTCATGATTTCTGGTGACCATCTCAAAATCTCGGATAGGTCATTCTGATCATTTCTAGCTACTTTCTGCGCACGCTTATAATTTTTACCCTAAACTCTATAGACCGTAAAATGAATTTTTTAAATGAAAATTAAAAAGTAAACTTAACTATTAGACTGAAGAAAAGTGAGTAAAATAGTCGACTAATTTGGTTTAAAAAACTGACTATTTGCCCATCTTTAATTATAATACCTGAAGCTTTTATTGATAAACACAGCTTAAATTTTTAAATCGATTCCGCGAGTCAAATTTTTTGCTTCAAATATCCTAAACTTAATAAATTTGCAATAATTTATTTTAAAAAAACTGTTTTTTATCTTCACATTTTGCTTTATAGAGAGCCACTATATGTTGCACTTTGGACAGAAGCTAAAATATTCAACATGGAAAACGTGTGTATGTCTTTCTCTGCTCCCTAGGCAGCAGCTGTCAGACAACTTGATATTGGATTTGAGCAAATTTCGCAGCGAAAAAAGAACAAATCGACGAGTGGAAAACTCTGATTTGACCGCTGGCAGCATTTTTTCTTTGAAACAAAAAAGGTCGGCGCATCGGTTGTTACCGTGCAATGAGTGACACGCGCGGCGGGTGTGTAATTTGATTGCGTGTTTTTGCTCCGGTGATGCGCGCGGCGGGCTAATTGATGCGTGCCAATCTTGCCTCGCGCAACGTTCACATCAAATTTGCATTTCGTTCGGCCGACAAATGTTTGCACACGTTGCCACACGGCTCGTTTACGTTGATTGAATTAAATTTAGTTCCAAAATGTGCGTGCTAAAGTTTAAAAAGTTGTGAAATTGCACTGCAGGTAGCTTCAATTTACCTAAACCATAAAATATTTACTCAATTAAATATTTTTTATTACGATACCAACACAAATTAGTTGTTGAATAACAATTACATTTTTTTTCAAATCTACTGTTTTAAAAAATAAAAAAATAAAATTAGGAAAAATGTAAAATAATGAAAAATTAATCTTAAATTTTTGTAATTAAATTTCCGTATGCAAAATCTGAGAGTCAGCAGTTTCAGGACGCAAACAAACTGACTGCAAAAAGCCATTAGGATGCACAAATCGCCCCGGGTTTTGCATTTTTTGCGTCCGTTGGGACGAAATGAATGAGTGCATCAGTGGCCAAACGGAATATAAATTATTTTAATTCAAAAGTTAATGAAGCCGCGCGCTCGCCATCGGGCGGTGCTTTTTGCCCAGTCGGGGCACACACACGTTCAAATAAATGTTTAATTGGATCTTTATCGCGCAGCTAGACGGCGGCAGATCGAAGCCAATTGCTTTTTGCTGCCTCTCTGCCTGCGGTGTTTCACCCAACGTGTGCATTGCGGCTCGATCGGCATCAAGGCAACACGCACGCA